TTATCGCTGGAGGAGTTAAGAACACCAACAATATCTTTAAAAATGTTTCTTGTCATTATAGTCATTGTCTTCAATCCACATCAATTTGAATTCTATTATCATCTGCAATGAACGATATAATATTCATAAAAATTGCCTGCCTTCCACCATGAATATTTTGAAAGATACAGCTTAGATGGTTCATTAGAGTATAATCAAAAGAATATTCAAGTTCTATCTTGCCAAAATAAAAGTGATCCCAATTTGCTGCCTGTTACCAGCAGGTATTAACCCCTTGCCGACGGGCATGGCATGTACATACATGCCATGCCCAGTGTGAGTCGACTTCTTTGATTGTTTTTACACATAGATGGCTACACTTGTACTAAGTCATCAGTGAGTCAGTTACAAGTACTGCCTGTCTTGCCCATTCACCCTTTTCATCGATTTACAAGAATGTTTAAGGTTATCTTATTTTGCTGTTAAAAATAACACCATCTATATTAATAGCACTAGTAAGAATATGTTTTTTTCCCGCCAATTCAAGGAAAGGTGAAATCAGGACTAGCAGAGCCATCTATGTACAGAGACATTTCACAAAAATATAAAAAATGAGTACAGCATTTTCCCCATTTTTTATTCATTTTTCCTGGCGGCAATGGATTAACCCATTCGCACTGGGCGTCACGTATACGTGACGGGCCCACTGTGAGTTTACTTGTTTGATTGTTTACAAACATAGATGGCTCCACTTGCACTTGTACTACCTGTCTCGTCTGTTTACCCTTTTCTTTAATTTACGAAATTATTTTGCGTTATCTTATATTGCTGTTATTAATGTTTATAACATTATAGTAATTATAATGTTTATAATAAAAATAACCATCGATATTCATAGCACTAGTAAAAATACATTTTCCCGCCAAATGAAATCAGGTAAAGCAGAGCCATCTAGTGTAGAGAAATTTCATTAAAAAATATAAAAAATGAGCACAGCATTTCCCCCATTTTTTGTTCATTAAAGGCCAATTTGAGTGGTATGAGGCAAATTGGCAGATGTGTGGATGTTATTCCAAACATTTACCAAAAGGTCTATTCTGTTCTTTAAAATAGTGTAGAAGATGCATGTAAAACTGAATAAAAAGAGGAGTGTTAATTATCATACAATACAGGACAAACATTAATTAAATATCTAGATAAATATTTTTACTTTAAATCTGTCTTTGATATACTCTAATTAGATTAAGTAATGATGACTTCAGTACCAATGAGCAAAACTGGAAGCCTTGGGAAGGTTAACTGTCTATATAAGTAAGGCTAGTTTTGCCAAATGGAAACTTTATCTTTCTTCAACGTTTTGGCTCCATCCACAACACAGATGCATTTCATGCTTTTCCTTCTACAGTTGATATATATAATTTCCTCTAGTATCAAGGACTAGGCAGAGATAGCATCAAGACATACTAAATTTTGCAACAACATTCTGCTTAAGCTATCTGTGGCTTTAATAATATTCTTTGATATGCATTTAACAGCGGTTAAAGTTGCACACCTAGATACAGCCTAAGTACCTTTAATTTTTTATACCTTAATAAAACCTCTGAAAACAGGGCTGCAGAGCATACAACAGCTGAAATCATGAAACTAGCACTATCCATCCTTTCTGAAGAGCTGCTCTAGTGAGTCTGTACTTTAGCCTCCCATTTTTTCAAGAATATTTTTCTTATTAACCCATTGCTGACAGGTATGCCATGCCATGCCCACTGTCAGTTTAATCATTTGATTGTTTGTACACATAGATGTCAACACTTGTACTAAAACACCAATGAGCCAATTACAGGTACTGCCTGTCTTGCCTGTTCACCCTTTTCTTTATTTTTTAAAATATTTTACGTTATCTTATTTTGCTATTACTAATGTTTATAACACTATAGTAATTATAATGTTTATAATAAAAATAATACAATCGATATTCATAGCACTAGTAAAAAATACATTTTCCTGCTGATTCAAGGAAAAGTGAAATCAGGTAAGGCAGAACCATCTATGTGTAGTGACATTTCTCAGAAAAATATAAAAAATGAGCACAACATTTTCCCCATTTTTTATTCATTTATCAAAAAACCCTGAGCGTCATAAACTCTGGTGATTTCTGGCAACATCCAGTCACTGTGCACGGGAGCCTGAAATGAGCAGCGGAACTTCTTCCCGCTCCACGTGCTCTGGTGCATTGCCTCGCATACAGCTGTACCCCAAGACCAAGCGGTACGTTATGACCTTGTACACGTGGCCCATCCATAAAGGGTTAAAATATACCTACATCAGTGAATCATCCTACAAAGTATCAATATTATATCTTGATTCTTGACTTTATCCCCTACAATTTTAGTGGATATGTAGGAAATTTGGGTTGCGGGGACAGCACATGAAAGTTTTGAACCCAAGCAACAGCCAACAATCTTGGGGATTCCCTGGGGAACTGAGGGTTTGAGGTGGGGAGATGCAGGAGAAATTGCTTGTAACAGGTATTTATAAAGGCGAGCCAAGAATGGCATCTTAGACAATACAGTGTAAAAACAGAAAACCTGCTCCAGTGTTCTATCACAGAATATTTGACCTGGCGTTGTGTGAATGAGCAAACCAACACCATCTTAACCCCTTGGTGCCGGGTGACGCCGATCGGCGTGTAAACAAAGAGCTCGAAAGCTGGCGTACAGCCAAACGAGCCGGCGGCGCGCCAAAGCGCGGCGAGCCAATGATTCGGGCTGATGTCCCCTACTCACTCGCTCAAAGTCAGCGCGCCGCTTTTGTTTGTTTAACCCAATGGCGCTGGGTGTACAAAAAAAAAAAAAAAACTCTACGCTTAAACAAACAAAGGCGGCGCGCCGACTTTGAGCGCGTGAGTAGGGGACATCAGCCCGAATCACTGGCTCGCCGCCGGCTTGTTCGGCTGCACGCCAGCTTTCGAGCTCTTTGTGTACACGCCAATCGGCGTCACCCGGCACCAAGGGGTTAAGTGTAGAGTTTTTTTTTTCTTTTGTACACCCGGCGCCATTGGGTTAAATGGCCAAAAATTCTGCAGTATGAATCAAAGCCTAACTAACCTGGGGACTTTGTTCCTGGTCCCATTCCCCAAATGCCATATTTCCTAAGCACAGAAATAAGATGATAGTGGATAATCTTCTAGAAATAAACATTCCATTATAATTTTTATTGTATGCCTGAAGAGCAATCTTAGTTCCAACTCTTTCAAGAACACAAAATAAGATAATCTGCCAAATGTGAAAAAATGCAATCAGTTATTAAAGCTAGATCCATAGTGACTGGGCACCTGCCATAGTATCCAAGTCTTTGGTATTCTAGTAAAAGGATATCACACCTGCACGATGCTTGGCTTGGTGTTTCTGTTGAGAGTACCCTGGGAATTTGCCATCAATTATAGAACTTGTCCAAGCTCTGTCTTGCTAAATCTATGTGGTGGAGGTATGTTGGCCCTTTCTGGAGCATTAAAAGGGTAGAAGCTATGGTGAATGCAGGACTTGATCCCAGGAAGATAGTCCTAGGCTCAAGAATTACATAAGGTTTTCATGCGTAACATCACCAGTGTTCTTGCATAAGATTAATCATTATCATATTCTTTAATGTGAAATACATCCGACATTCATTTAGCTTCTTCATGAAACCATTAAATGTGATGCACATGAGTCACCATTAAATACATTATTCACTTTTATGCTTTTGTGCATTTGTTAGTGTTTTAACCCATTCACGCCGGGTAAAAATGAACAAAAAATGGGGAAAATGCTGTTTTCATTTTTTTTTTTTTTTTTTTTTTTTATTATTATTTTTTTTTTTTGTGTGTGTGAAATGTCTACACTAGATGGCTCTGCTTTACCTGATTTCACCTTTACTTGAATTGGTGAGAAAATGTATTTTTACTAGTGCTATGAATATCGATGGTTATTTTTATTATAAACATCATAATTACTCTATTGTTATAAACATTAGTAACAGCAATATAAGATAAAGTAAAATATTTTTGTAAATTAAAGAAAAGGGTAAACAGGCGAGACAGGCAGTACAAGTACAAGTGTAGCCATCTATGTTCACACATAGATGGCTACACTTGAACAAGTAAACTCACAGTGGGCACGTCACGTATACGTGACACCCGGGGCGAGACCAATGTTGTATACTTTCATTAATTCATATTTTTAATTAGTGTGAAATGTGTGAAATATGGATTCAACTAGCATGAAATTTGTTTTTGGAAATTATGCCTAAAAAGGGACATTATGCAACCCTCCCCTAATGGACACTTAGATTGTTAAAGGAGAGAGAGAGAGAGAGAGAGAGAGAGAGAGAGAGAGAGAGAGAGAGAGAGAGAGAGAGAGAGAGAGAGAGAGAGAGAGAAAAGGTGTATGGAGTGGTAACCTTAACAAAAACAGAACTTTTCATGTATGGCAAAAGGTGTGTAAATAAAAAATAAAGGAAATACATAATAGAGGAGAGAAGAAGAAGCCCCTATTGTATTCAACATCAAAGGATAAAAATAAATATGACCACATAACTCATTACAGTGATCTGTCAAGTAGTTCACATATTACTACATGCTTGTGAAAATGATAATTTTGTAATCCTCAATGCCTATTTTTCCTACTTCATGTATCTAATGCACTCCTTTATTTTTATTATACTTCTTTGACATGTTTTCATAATTATTTATGCTATACTGTGCAATACTCTTCTGCACTTGTGTGCTTTAGCAACTGGGAGATTTGACAGTGCTGTGAAATGCCATTCCATGATATATGCTTGTGTGAAACGTTTTGTTTTAAATGTTGTATTCATTCTGGGTTATTGATAAAATAATATAGTGGCTATGGTGAGGAAACAGACATTAATAAATATTACAGCTTGATATTTGAGCACATCAAGAGCCCCTAATGAAAAAAAAGTGATAAGAAAACAAGTAATGCACAAGAAAAGTTTGGTGTTTTGCTATATAAAGGTAAGTGGTTTTAGCCTGGAGGTCCAGAGTGCCCCTGACTACAGAATATAAAAGATGTATTTTAGTAATACCACAGGGGTCTAAGGAGCAGAGTCCCCTGGTTTGGGAATATATAGATCGTAGTGTATAAATCCCACAGGGTTAGCCCTTTATGGACAGGTTTTTTTTTTTTTTTTTTTTTTTTTTTTTTTTTTTTTTTTTTTTTTTTTTTTTTTTTTTTTTTTTTTTTTTTTTTTTTTTTTTTTTTTTTTTTTTTTTTTTTTTTTTTTTTTTTTTTTTTTTTTTTTTTTTTTTTTTTTTTTTTTTTTTTTTTTTTTTTTTTTTTTTTTTTTTTTTTTTTTTTTTTTTTTTTTTTTTTTTTTTTTTTTTTTTTTTTTTTTTTTTTTTTTTTTTTTTTTTTTTTTTTTTTTTTTTTTTTTTTTTTTTTTTTTTTTTTTTTTTTTTTTTTTTTTTTTTTTTTTTTTTTTTTTTTTTTTTTTTTTTTTTTTTTTTTTTTTTTTTTTTTTTTTTTTTTTTTTTTTTTTTTTTTTTTTTTTTTTTTTTTTTTTTTTTTTTTTTTTTTTTTTTTTTTTTTTTTTTTTTTTTTTTTTTTTTTTTTTTTTTTTTTTTTTTTTTTTTTTTTTTTTTTTTTTTTTTTTTTTTTTTTTTTTTTTTTTTTTTTTTTTTTTTTTTTTTTTTTTTTTTTTTTTTTTTTTTTTTTTTTTTTTTTTTTTTTTTTTTTTTTTTTTTTTTTTTTTTTTTTTTTTTTTTTTTTTTTTTTTTTTTTTTTTTTTTTTTTTTTTTTTTTTTTTTTTTTTTTTTTTTTTTTTTTTTTTTTTTTTTTTTTTTTTTTTTTTTTTTTTTTTTTTTTTTTTTTTTTTTTTTTTTTTTTTTTTTTTTTTTTTTTTTTTTTTTTTTTTTTTTTTTTTTTTTTTTTTTTTTTTTTTTTTTTTTTTTTTTTTTTTTTTTTTTTTTTTTTTTTTTTTTTTTTTTTTTTTTTTTTTTTTTTTTTTTTTTTTTTTTTTTTTTTTTTTTTTTTTTTTTTTTTTTTTTTTTTTTTTTTTTTTTTTTTTTTTTTTTTTTTTTTTTTTTTTTTTTTTTTTTTTTTTTTTTTTTTTTTTTTTTTTTTTTTTTTTTTTTTTTTTTTTTTTTTTTTTTTTTTTTTTTTTTTTTTTTTTTTTTTTTTTTTTTTTTTTTTTTTTTTTTTTTTTTTTTTTTTTTTTTTTTTTTTTTTTTTTTTTTTTTTTTTTTTTTTTTTTTTTTTTTTTTTTTTTTTTTTTTTTTTTTTTTTTTTTTTTTTTTTTTTTTTTTTTTTTTTTTTTTTTTTTTTTTTTTTTTTTTTTTTTTTTTTTTTTTTTTTTTTTTTTTTTTTTTTTTTTTTTTTTTTTTTTTTTTTTTTTTTTTTTTTTTTTTTTTTTTTTTTTTTTTTTTTTTTTTTTTTTTTTTTTTTTTTTTTTTTTTTTTTTTTTTTTTTTTTTTTTTTTTTTTTTTTTTTTTTTTTTTTTTTTTTTTTTTTTTTTTTTTTTTTTTTTTTTTTTTTTTTTTTTTTTTTTTTTTTTTTTTTTTTTTTTTTTTTTTTTTTTTTTTTTTTTTTTTTTTTTTTTTTTTTTTTTTTTTTTTTTTTTTTTTTTTTTTTTTTTTTTTTTTTTTTTTTTTTTTTTTTTTTTTTTTTTTTTTTTTTTGTACAAGCATCATAACATACACTTGGTTTGTGGGTTACAGCTGTGTGCGCGGCAGTGCGGCAGAGAGGGAAATTTTGTGCCCAGTGTCTGGACACTGCCAGAGTTTATAACACAGAGAGTTTTCTGATACTTATTGGAGTTGGGTTAAAGTTTGGTTGGTTTATTAGTAAGGATGTATTGTACAATTACTACAGGGGTTTTGGATGGTGTTTCCTGTAGATTTGACCAAGTGGTGGGTTTGTTTCCCATAGAATTTTTCAAAAACTAGAGCATCAGTCCGTAAACTTTCAAAGATGGTGGGCACATTTGCAGAGTTTCAGAGCTGATTTTCAATGTTTTTTGTGCAGGTTTCATATGTTTTTGTTCTCTGTTCTTATTTCAGACTGTTTTACCCAAAAATTTCCCTGATATACTTCATGCCATCCCCTGCTAGCAAGACTTATCACATCAAGATTGTTGGCTGTGACTGGGATGGATATGATCATCACACATTAATAAATCTGATGCTAAAAGTATTGTCCAAGAAGGCTCAATTATCATAGTTGAAAAGTTAACCAAAGAACTGCCCCTATCTTTAACTACCATCTACATGGAGTTGTACCTTTCATAACTTGTCAGCTGTTAATAGTTTAACATCTTTATTTCACCATCAACAACCAAGAATTTTTGCTTTCCCAAATTTGTTGTGGGCGTTGATAGACATCACCTCATCAATCACTACTGGAAGCACTGCAGCAATATACTTAACAGTTCATAGTGATTTGATAGGAAATATGTTAATACTTTAAATCATTTTTTTCCATTGATATAAATGATAAAGGGCCCAAGACCAATGGATCAATATAGGATGCATTCAAAACTGAGAACCTAAATTCACAGATCACCGGATCAACATCTGATTATTTTGAAATAGCGGTTTTCAAATTCCATTTCCTTTAGAAATATGAACTTGGTGTTCAAGCCTCCCTTTAGCTGAGATAGATGATGTGCCATGTACCACAGGTAATACGTACACTATTGAGCTAATATTTAAAAAGTAAATAAGTAAAGTAATGTTTCACGCTCTCACCTTCCTCACTGTCAGACGCAGCCCCACCTGTCATGAACGGGATTCTCTCCGAATCCGCCGATCAGCTGACTGGAAACGCGTCAGTGACGTCACGCACAACAACACAGTCGCCGGTAGGATAAAATAGCCGATCATTCGCCGCTAAAATTTAAGTCAATTACATATTTGCGGCATAAACAGGGCATAAAACATTCCCTTGTCCGTGGTATCGTTTCATATATATATTTTTTGTAGCAATTAAAAGCAACACTTTCTTTACATAGATATATATGAATCTGTGGATATGTCTATACACACATACAAACATATATACATACATACATACATATATATATATATATATATATATATATATATATATATATATATATATATATATATAATGTAAACAAATAATATACATACATATCTACATATACATGTATATATAATATATGTAGATATGTATGTATATTATTTGTTTACATTATACACACACACACACACACACATATATGTGTATATATATATATATATATATATATATATATATATATATATATATATACATACATATATATATATATATATATATATATATATATATATATGTGTGTGTGTGTGTGTGTGTGTGTGTGTGTGTGTGTGT